TAAGTCAAGAAACACTGCGATACATTTCTTATTAGCATCTAATTTTTCAGTCACTTCTGTTATGACCGAGCACATTGCATCAGTGGTAGACTTACCATTTCTAAATCCAAACTGCTGTCGGTGGATTATATCGTTTGAGTCTAGAAAGTGTATTAACCGATCTTTCAAACATTTTTCAAATAATTTTCCAAAATTATTGATAACACTAATTTCTTGCTTTTTCAGCTGACGACCAAAAAGAACGTGAACGAGATCTGGTAACAGCTGAAATGATCCCCACGACGGCTACCAAACTGTCTTTCTGGCAAAAGTTTTTTGAGCTACATTACAAAATGTTGTTTGCAAACACTGATAGTGTTCAGAACCACATGTACAGTTCGGAACCCCTAGAATGGCCTCTCATGTCACGTGGAATTGCATATTGGGTCTCTTCGACGAGCAATGTAAGTTCATTCAGCATTATACTGTGTATTATTTGTCTATAGTCTATTTCCGTATACAGAGGAGTAATAAATCATTTTTATGTGGCTATTCCATAGGAGTCAGTTGAAATATATGAAAATTTAGTATTCATTTTACACATTCAATGTTCTATGATTTGATATAATAAATCTCAAAAGTAACAAAAAATTTCAATACTTTCTACGAAAAGGCGTTTTCAATGTATCACATATCACACATCTCACCTGATTAAATCAGGCATACCTTAGATATTTTCAATTTTTGCTGGAAAACAGGATGACGTCATGATTCGATATGATCTATTAGTGATTTAATTAGGTACTTTATTGCCTGAAGAATATGAATAATTGATGATTCCTATGTGTCTTAATCAGTGTTGTTATTAGCTAATTATACTTGAATCGAAATGTCTGCTTCAGTTTTCTCTCCAGTAAAGCAAATGAGCAAATGTGCTTTTTCTGTTGACGAAAAGATTATTATTCTTAATGTATGCTTCATATACGATTAATACTCTGGTGAAAATGTATTCGCAAATGAGGGGAGTTTTAAAATCTTCGAGATATAAATTCAGGAACAAGAAAAAAAATTGAGCTGTGAAATTATCAAAACCATCTTTAGGAAGAAAAACTGGGTCTGTTGATGAAAACTATGAACTTGCAGTTAGAAGAGCAGTATATTTATTTTATTTTAAGAAAGAAATACCGACCATTGACAAAATAATGGAAGCCTTAAAAGAAGATAGGCAGAAAGAAATTGTGGAAAATTGAAGGAATTGAATTTTAGCTGGGAAAAACAGAAACTCACTATTAATTGAAAATGATGAAATCATTTGCTGAAGGAGACATTACCTATGTCAGATAAGAGAGTTTCGACATGAGAAGAGAGGGACAGAGAGAGATATATGTTTATTGTCCTAAGAAAAAGTTACTGTTGACAAACGTTTTTGAACTATGTTGAAATTGTATAAAAGTATTACTTAAATCTTATCTATATAAAATAGAATATCAAACACATTTGATGCTATACAAATCAAAATTTTCTTTAAAAATATGTTATATTATAGCGAGATACTATAAGTAAATTCTATAATTCATAAAATGAGTGGTCATTGTAAAATTAATCCAAATTCAGTTCAAATTCAATTCAATTGAAATGACGCTTAATTTTTTCCTGAAAATAGTCAAAGAATAACTCATCAGGTGTATGGGAATTTTATTGTACATCTTTATTTCACTGTATATTAATGACTCCTTCACCATCGTAGTTGTGCGCAGGGGAAGTCTGATCAAGTTAGCTTGGCTTGTATTATAGTGCGGCTCGTTTGTATCAAAAAGAGCAGATATATATATTTTTGTGAATCAGACTTACTGTTTCAAGGATAATTTAGAGAGATTATTGTTAGGATTTGTTGTTCAATGAATAATGGTTTGCAGTGTTCTTGGAATTTTGCCCTGCACACACACCGGACAGCTTGCTTCTGTGTAACATAAACAGTTTGCAGCATGCTTTTGCTGCAACTTCTCAGAAGGCAATACCATATCTTATATATGCATCTACGAAGGCAAAGTAAGCAGATCTTGCAAAGGTTTTACCTAGTTCACTTAAAACCGATTTGATAACAAAACAGCCAGATGCCAGGTTTTTATTTAGCTTAATAATATGATGCTTGAATTTATGTGAATTCCTAAGAATTTAGAGAACAATTTTACCTAGAGAATGTTGTTATTTAAACGAAGCTGTGGAAGTTCACATTTGATGGTGAGGAGATGGGTTTTATTGAAGTTTAAAGAAAGCTCTTTATTTTTTCCATATCCTTATTAGTGACATTTTGTGCTAGTTTTGTAGGATCTTTTCCCTGCCACAGCAACGTGGTGTCATCTGCAAATGAAGTGATGCTAGCAGTTATATCATTAATATACAATAAAAACAAGATGGGTCCTAGAATGGAACCTTGAGTGACAACTGCTTTGATTTCTCCCACACGGGAGTCTGTCGAAAGTCTCACAAATTGCTTTCGATGCAATGAGTATGATTCAAACCATTTAATGCTTGTGTGCCCAAATTCATAATGTTTCAGCAAAAGGATTCCATGATCATCATGGTTAAATTTATTATATGAACGAAACAGCTTAACGAAGGATTTACCATTGGAAAGATGTGGCAAGACGAAAAATATTATAAGTTCACGTCAAACATTTTTAGGATTAAAGTCGCCTTTTGGAAAAAGAAAGTGACTGGCTATTACCCACATTGGAAGTGTTGATGGTTTTGTTGAGGGTGATTCATTGATGTTTGACTCAAAGCATTCTGGCGATCAACATGAAGACATGATTATTTGAAGGTGGTTGACAATGTTTCGTGGTGTATTTCATCAGTTCGGACTTCCATTGTCTAATATAATATAAATTGATTTGAAATTCCTGAAAAAATATTATTTTCAATATTTTTTCAGGAATTTCAAATCAATTTATATTATATTAGACAATGTACGTCTGAACTGATGAAATATGAAGACATGAACGGTGATGTGTTTGAAGAATATTTTGAGCAAATGTTGGATGGAATATTTTGAGCAAATGTTGGACGTCATTCCACCTAACTCTGTGATTGTGATGCCATTCCAGAAAAGTTTTGTGAATACCAACTAATGCATGAAGAAATATCATTGATTGGCTTTTACAAAAAACATAACATTTGATGAAAGTATCGTCAAGAAAGAACTGTTGTCCATAGTATGTTCAAAAAAGCTCGTTTCACATAATATGTAATTGACAAAATGGTACAGAAAAGAAATATTATTATTCTGTGTTTGTACTCTTTATCATTGCGAACTTAATCCTATTTAACTTATTTAAGAACATTTTATTCTGAGATTTTCACTAGACAGTTCACAAAATCTCAACATATGTCCATTCCAAAAAATGGCGAAAATATATTGAACGTGTTATAAAAGAAGAGGACAACATGTACAAATTAGACCATTTAGTTGAAATTTTATCTGATGATAACACCATAATTTTTGCTTGTATCTAATATCTTCTCCAATAAGCATACCTACTTATTATCATGTGAATATTTTGAATGAAAATGTTATAACGATATTAATTGTATTGAAGGGGTTATATTTTTAGGAGTGATTAATTTTTGGGAAAATTTTTGGCTTTCTACTACTCCATCTTGATACAAAAAACAAGGATGAGGGAATCTTCCAAGGAAAGGAAGGAAGTAATCAATTTCAAAATAAGTAACTCTATACATGGATGTGTAGATGAAAGTTACTTCTTTGCATGATCTACATATCCATGTATAGAGTTACTTATTTTCAAATTGATTACTTCCTTCCTTTCTTTGGAAGATTCCCTCATCCTTTTTTTGTATCAAGATGGAGTAGTAGAAAGCCAAAAACTTTCTTTCCCATTAATTGTATATAAATAAACATAATTATAGTATAGGGTGGACTTGGTAAAGTAATTCAAAATAGCCTATACAGGCCTACACAAGCACTCTGTTAGCGTTTTGCATTTATAATGAGCAGTCATTTCTTTCAACTATTAGAAAACAGAATATAATATTCATTTCTTTGTTTTTCTCCAGGCACAGATCCACCTGCTGGGAAACGTTGTGATCTGGTACTCGGCAACATTCGGCTTGGTCCTGTACTCCGCCCTGCTGATATTCTATCTACTGCGCAGGCGTAGATTGTGCTTTGACCTGGATTCTCAAACTTGGAACCAGTTTCAAACATTGGGCGAAATATTCCTAACCGGATATCTCTTCCATTACTTGCCATTCTTCTTTGTCGATAGAACATTGTTTCTGCACCACTATTTGCCTGCGTTTACTTTCAAAACGCTGCTACTAGCTGCTACTTTGGAGCACGTGTACGTCGTCATCAATGAAGTGGTCGGTTCGAAATTCCTGAAGAAGTTATATGTTTTGTCGTTGATGGTTTGGTTAGGATGGATTGTGTTCGTGTTTCGTAAATTTTCCGTGGTAAGTTATGGTACTAGCGCACTGACGACGAACGATATCGTTGATCTGAGGTGGAAGGATAGCTGGGATTTTATCGTCCATAAAAGTTAACTCGTCGTTTATTAGAGATCAGATGGAAAGTTTATAAATTTTTCTTGAGGATTTATTCGTGAGGTGTAGGGAATTTTCTTCAACCGATTTGTTTGTTTTTAAAACAATGCAGTTACATTGTTGAATCAAAATAATAGGCATAGTACTTAGAAGTCTTCCAGATATTTTTATAAATGAGAAATATTGAGTTGGGATTTGTGGAATGCTGAATATTTACAACTCTTTCATCCTTTTAGTCAAAACGTTGCACTGCCAAACTCTTGGAGAAATAGGAACATGTTTATAAGAAATAGAAATATATCGAATTGTTTGTTAAACTTCCAATGAGAGATGTCACATATATTCCAATTGTTGATTATGGCCTATTAAACCGTCTATTATGGTTAATGACTAGTTAGAACTGTTTCAATTGTTTATTATGGTAAACAGTTGTTTAATAAGCTACTATTAAAAGTTTGAATTTTCAGGGTTAATAGGCTGTTTAAACTGTTCAGTATGACTTATTGAACAACAGACTGATGCTTAACTGACGAAACCGTTGATTATGGCTTTGAACTGTCAATTATGGTTATTTGATGTGAACTGTTGATTATGGCTTACCTAACTACGGTTTAAACTATTATGGTTAATGAACTATTTGAAGCGTTTATTTTGGCTTATTGAATTACTTTTATTAGGTAGCAATTTAACCTGTCAATTATGGTTAATTGACAATTTAAACTGACTATTATGGCTAATCAACAGATTTGTTTATATTTTTGGTAGTCGGCTGTTAAAACTGTCGATTATAGACTGTCAACTATAGATAATCAACAGTTAATAAAATTGTAGATTACAGCTTAAAACTATATTATGGTTAGACAACATTTTGAATAATAATCAACGGTTCGAACTGTCGATATAATTGCTAGTTGACAATTTTAATTGACGTTTATAAAAAATAATCTGTGGCAGTTCAATGTCTGCAAATGGGAGTACATATTGTGAGATGACAGAAGTATAGTGGGTTGTTGTATAAAAAAAAAGCAATGATAATTACTAATCCAAAATATGAATATCGAACATATATTTTTTTATTATCATTAAGTTATAAAACTCATACTTTTATAGAGGTATATTATTGTTGGAAAAAGGAAAATCATATTTTATACTATTTATTTTGTATATTTTTATAATAAAGATCAGTTTGAAGAAAACATCAGCTCATTTACTTATAACCTTACAAAAAAACCAACACCCTGTTCCCTAAACAATCTCCATCTGTTCGGGCTCAATTCTCTGCACCGAAACTTCCTCTACGTCCACAACTTTAGAAGAAAGAACACGAGTGGTACCCTTGGGATACCTGTAAGAAGCTTGCTTGAGCCCCTTCTTGTTGGCCTCGTCATAAGTCCTCCTATAGTCGACAGACCCCTTCCGAATGATGCAGACATCAATATTCGATCCAGACCCCAAATCATTGAAGATACCAGCAGCAATCGCGTCTCTGACAAGCTGTACACCTTCCTCCTCCTCCAAGTTGGGTCTCCAGCGGGACTCGAATACTGCTATGGCGGCCAGGGAGCCCGAGCCCATCGTGCCATATGGGAGGTTGTCACTAGACCCGTGGGGGTAAATCATGTAGAGATGGGGACCTTCGACATCAACTCCTCCGAGGATAAGAGCAGCACCAATGTAGCCCTGGTAACGAAACAGATACTGCTTCAGCATCTGGTTAGCTGTGCAGACTCTGGCGATGCGATTAGTGTGCAGTTTGTGGAGTTCCAATTGAGACGAGATCATCTGAGTGGTCATCTCTGTGTCCGCGGCTGTACCAGCACCACAACAACTGAAAAATAATTATAATGAAAGGTCAATTTTGTAGTGTGATTAGTAGTGATATTATCATTTATAAGTTCTGAGGGAGGTTATCAGGGAGTTATTTTTCATCTCATTGATAATGTTCCAATTTTCTCTGGATATATTACTAGAACTATCCAACCTTGTGTTTTTGTATTCTAACTTGGATTTCTCAACTCTTTCTTTATATAGGATTTTCAACTGCCTATATCTTCCTTTGATTGAATTATTATTTGTGGATTAGATTTCAGTTTAAATTGAAAGGGGTATATTTTTAGAAATAGATTCGTTTTTGGGAATGAAGCTTTTTGGCTTTCTACTTATACAAAAAATATGAGCATTTGATTTAATTCTTCCAATTCCAAGTTAAATCAGTTTCATTTCTATATTAAATTCAATTTGTTCCAAAGGAAAAACATTGAATATAGGATAAAGAAAATAGCTTCTGTCTGATTTCTACAGAGTTTTTTTATTTGTTAGGACCGGTTTATTAAACCATTCTCATGAGAATGGAATCAAATAAAAAAACTTAGCGAAAATCTGACAAAAGTTTATTTTCTTTACCCTATATTCAACGTGAACTTCTAAAAAATAAGTAGGTCATCAATCGAACAAGTCAAAAACATTATTCCAATGAGATTTGAATGTATCATTAAAAGTCTGATATGCCTCATCTATATTATTTACACCAATAATTCCATTCCATTTCTCTATTAGAGAGTCCCTGAAAGCTAACAGATTGGATTCAAAATATTTAGATATAAATAATCTTACTTTCTAGGCATGATTCTGTCTTACTCTTCGATAAAAGCTCTGTTGTTTTATTTCAAGTCGGTATGTTGCATAAACCTGCTATGGCATCAATGGAAAGGAAAGACAATTTTCAACTTCATTTGGAAATGAACAGTGACTTAATTTGTAATTTACTTACTACATATTTGGAGCAAGATAGTGAATCTTCTCAGAGTTCTTGTCTGCAACTGTGGTATCTTCTGTGGCTCTGGTATCGGCCCCAAGAATGACTCCATCTTTATAAGTAATTCCTACGATGGTGGTACCAGTCTTAGTAGCTTTTGGTAGAGCGAATCCCTTGCCTTCCAGCAATGCATTTCTGAATGAAAATGGAATTGAGGTTAGGAGAGTGATAATGCAATTTCACTTAAAGGATGAACTCATCTTTTGTTACTTACCTTTTACAATTCTCGAATGAAAAGCCTGGCGCTGGAATTTCAGGACACAAAACAGACATCTTTATTTATGAATTTCAAAAAAAATTCTATTTCTGCTAAATAAACCAATTTGAAGTTTAGCTCTTTGGTTTCGGTACAGAAAGTTCTGTGTACTCGTAGTACTCGATGATAGCTAGTTTGAGTGTCAGATTGACAGACATAAGATTTAAGTCAAATTATAAGTGACATATAACTTCTTTGTTTTCGAATTGTTTTCCAATTTTGATAAAAGATGCGTTTTGTTGGCACTAATTCCATTCCAGATTTAGTCATTCCCGCTAAAAGTTATTCGCTATCTCTAACACAGTATGTTTTGCTCGCACTTATCTTATTTGAGATCAGTTATTCTCTCTCTGTTTAATCATGATACAATAAGAGAATACAAGCTGCGTTCATTTGCTTCAATTTCGATTCCTGAAAGACCAGTCCTAACGCTCTTTGATATCTATTCCAGTTGCTACTTTTCATTACATCCCATTCTACGGAATCTTTGGAATGAAGTGGTGAGAGAAGGCAAAATCTCTCATATTACATAACATCCCTGAATACTGCCAATTTCATTTTTGGCGTTTCATTGGTGTAAACAATTTTCAGGTTGGGAACCAAAAAAACATTACTTCATTGAATACTTTTAGCGGAAATGATCCAATCTGTTTGCCAACAAAACACGACTAGTATTTCTACAATTACGGAATACTCTCTACTCGATGATGAGTGTAATTTATCAATACTATATCTTATTCTAGATTGGGTAATTTCCGTTACAAGTTATTCACTTTCTCTGGCCGATAAGTGTGTTTAGTTCGCATTAATATCATTTCAGATCTTTCATTTCCATCAAAAGTTATTCGCTCTCTCTGCTCGATTAAAACATATCAAGCAGAGATAACAAATAACTTTTGGCGGGATTGACCCAATCTGGGCGGCAACAAAATACAAGTGATGTTATTTGAGCTACATTCGAGTTGACCCGTTCCAGTAGGCAGTGTTTCTTACGTCATTGACATTATATTCGATGAAATGTATTGCACCTTCAAATAAGTTCTCAGTGATGAAGGAACCCAATTCATAAAGTTCATAGAAAACTATCTTAACAACTATCTGCTCGATCGGGTGTCAACTAGAATACATCTCTGATCGACTTGGGATAACCAATAAATTCTGATAGGAAAAAGATAAATACCAACAAAACACATCTACTGTTCCTGAAATCTACCACTTCTTTTTTTATTGTACATTTTAATTATACAAAAAACGACATAATTCATGAACAAAATGTGTTATATTCGAATCAACAGTGTCGGAAAGAAAGTACAACCAATGACCATCGTTACTACCGGCAAAGTACGCGAAAGAGAGGATTGATAGTAGTGAGCTCGACTCAGGAATGAAGCCCAAACCTGTAAATTTTATACCGATCACAACAATGATCAGCTTGAATCTTTCAATTTTAAAAGCCTTCCATTTCGATGGCTTGGAGCCTGGCTTTTATGAAAATCAATTCCTAGCTTCCCTACGTTGCTTTTTATTAAATTAGAAAGGACTATCAGAAAAACATTAATCTACACTTTTATGCTTCCCATTTTTCGTTTCATCAGTTTTTTTAGCCTTTATATATGCACTTTCATAGGTGCCTGTATATTTTTGTAATTGAACGCATTGAATGCGCTCCTTCCGAATATGTGAGTTTTCAATGCCATGGCGACTTTTTAGTCGCAGAAATATTCGTCAAAAATTTATTTCTGCCATCAACGGAATGATATTTAATCCAATTCCATAACCATAACGAATGTTTGGAATACAAACTGAATAGAAAAAGTATTTTTTCTACAAATCAATTTTCATATAAAAGCAGTTGTTTCGAAAGAATTTTTTCGTTAGTGTAATTTAGTATTTATATGGAAGTAGTTGTTTCTGAAGAGGTTTTTCTTCTAGTTTGTACCTGAAAGTTACTTCTTTGCGTGACCTACGCATCTTTGTAAAGAGCTCGTTTTGAAATTAATTGCTTGCTTCCTTTCTTTGTAAGATTAATTCATTTTTTGCATGAAGATGGAGAAGTTGAAAGCCAAAACCTTCCTTTCCCAAAAACCAATCTCTCAAAAATATAACCCTTGAATTCAAACAATTTATTTATGTTCTGTGAATATGCCAATAAGTTTCTTCCATCTGTGCTTATTCTTTATAGATCTAACAGTTTCAGTGTCGAAATTGTTGACATAGAACACCTAATAAGTGAGAGTACGTTGTTACGTTGCTGGGTCAACCCTGTATAGGAACCCTGAATCCTGAATACGTTTCAGAATCAACAGGGTTGTTGGAACTGTATAATGATCTAGAAGATAAACCGAAAAATAAAACAAGAAAAAGATGTCCCAAGTCAATAGTGTCAATACTGTCAATCTGTCATTAACGATTTGTGGTTAAAAATATGTTTGAAATTTTTGAATTTTTTTTAAGATAGGACATTATTTTTCACTTATAAAAAGCGGTTTTACTACCACCATTTACATTCTGGAAAAAAAAGGGTTTTAACATATTGTGCTTGAAACCAACATGAGTGGAAAACATTTCCAGTGGGAATCTCACCATGATACTATATTGAAAATTATCCATTCCTACTGTGTCAAAGAAGAAAAGACTGACGTTACCATCAACTTCGAAGACGGCAAAATAAAAGCCCATAAAATTATACTATCTGCATGCAGCGCCAAGCTAGAAAATATTTTTAAAGAGGAGGGTAATATTCAAGTGTGTTTTTACGATATATCCAAGTCATGTATGAACTACCTTATTGAGTTTATGTACAAGGGACAGGTGGTAGTTCCATCAGATGCCTTAGATGATGTTCTTCGAGCAGCAGAACATTTACAGATTAAGGGATTGCAAAGAATCACTGACTCTCCAATTGAACAAAATCAAAGTCAAACTCAATTATCTGTTAGTACTATTATTTTAAAGTTTTAAATGAAAACAATTTGATAAATATTTGTTTTTTGGGCTCACACTACTTTTTGGATTTTTCATTAGACATGTATTTTTCTCAGCTGGTCACAGAGATCGAAAAAAAGAAATTAGTATTCACCATTTTTATCATGAAAGTTTTCAGAAACGGAGTAGTAAATACCAGACACATAAATAAAATGCAAATACATTTACAAGTAGTTTCCCCAAACAAGTAGTTTACGACCTACAAAATATGGGTCATTGGGAATTCAAACGTCAGATCATTATTCATCATATCTATTAGACATTGTTTCAAAACATGATAATACTAGAAGCAAGACGAAAATTGAGGTCCTTAGATTTATGGTTGTTATTATTACCATTATTTTGACTAGCAATTTATGAATATTACTGGAGTTTTTTCTTCCTCTTGAAGATGGTCACTTGGCAATCGAAACACGTGTCAAGGTGTAAAAATAACGATTTGGTGTTGGGAAAAAACTCCAGTAATATTCATTACTACACCAAAGGTTCCAAACAGTACATCATTAGCAATTTATGACCTAGAAAATATGGGACAACCTGTAATTGAATAAAGAATATCAAAATTCATCAATTCCACCATGAAAGATTTCAGAAATTTAGGGTCTTTATCATTATTATCCCAAACAAGTAGTTTATGACCTACGAAATATAGTACAATAATTCATCATACTCACGAGAATTTTTTTAAAACAATAATGGTATCAGAAACAAACATAATTAAGTTCAGATCTATGATCATACATAAAATATGAGACGCCCTGTAGTCAACAAACATAATTAAGTTCAGATCTATGATCATACATAAAATATGAGACACCCTGTAGTCAATAGAAGAGAATCATTATTTATAATTGGCATGCAATTGTAAAAATGCAAAAAATATCAAAAACCACCAGCATGTCATGCTTTTATAATGATGTAGTTTTGTAGGGAAAACAATTTTGAGAACTTACTTGAGAACCTAATTAACAAACTACTAAAGAAGCTGCTGCCTTTAGTTTTTGACATTCAATATATGACTTGTCATAGCACTAAGGTGTAATAATTTGACCAATAAAAAAATATAATCTAATCTATGGGTTGGCCGTGTCAAATCTTTGAAAAAGTTGGTGTATATTATGTTCATTTGTTTGTTATTTTGAGGCATTCAATATATTAGTGTTTAGGTTTGTCATTAATGATCACTTGTTTAAAAGAAATCTTTAAACTGTCCCATATAATGTGTTTCAGTAGTTAGGGAATTGCAATCAAAATGCTAATAGCTCTGAAATTTTTGAAATTTCTTCAACCCCAGATTGAAATATGTACATTTCCAATTTTGAGTGTCTGTATCTCCTGAAGTAGACTGGACTTGACTTTAGATATGTGATCAGCAGACAAAAAGTACGGAAGTCCAAATAATTTAAAAAAAATATTGGTGTGATCCTAAAAACGAATATTCAACTACACTTGGTGGATCCAAAAACAAGCATTTTTCCTAATCACCAGATTGGGAAAAGTGCAATACTCTTCTCAACGTGTGTTTCATTAACCAAGTTGGCGTTTTTAGGCAAATCCAGGTAATCTGATGAATTTTTTGATTATATATTAATGACTACCTGACTGTTTTGTATGGGACTTTTGTTGCTGTTCATAGATCTCATTCCACATTTTACGATTTCTTAACTTTCGAAGTCATTTACCGGTCTCAACAATTTCAAGCATTCTCAACTTATTCTGTGGCTGTTCCTTGAGGCATGTTCAGCGACACTACACTTCTCTGGTCTGTGAAACTGGATTTGTGAAACATGTTCCTTTTTGAAAGCTATTATAGTTCACCTAGTTTGATCAACATACTTTTTATCCCAATTCTCACAGCTTTCGTAAATCTCAGGCTTCTTTTCCGTCGTCTTGTCTTTCATGTTGCCCAACACTTGTTGAAGTATACGAGAAGTTTTGGAAGCCACTTTCATATTGAAATTTTCAAAATTTCGGACCAATCTTTCGATGTATTTTGGTTAATATGAAAGAACTATACCTATATTGTGAGTCTTTGTCTTTCTGAGAATTCGTGAATTCACAAAGAAACTCTAAATTTACTTTTCCTAAGTAACTTATCTACGATGTTTGAAGAATAGCTGTTATTTTCAACTATGTCCTTGATAACTTTTTCTCAAAATCATACTTTTCTTTGCCCAAGGGGAACGTAACCAGTTTGTGAAATGTAGTCCCACAATTTTTTGTTTCCTATAATGGTGGGAGCTATCAAGGTTATATATGTATATGATCTGTACACATCAAATTCCAAAAAGTATCTGCGTTTCTTATAACCAGAACATCCAGTAATGGTAGCTCTTCGTTTTCGAATCTGCGATTATAACTCCAATACACATATTATACTTTTAATATGCAATGCTCAGTCTTTTTTTACCATACTTAGAAAAACAACAGCTCAACTGAATCTGGCTCAAATCTGGTCATGAACAGATTAGCCGTGAAAGGAGACAATGGGTTGCCCATTGCCATACCCTCGTGCTGTTTGTAAAAGCAACAAACTGAAACAGAATTGCTTCCAGTTGCAAGAGGTTTTTAGATGCCTTCGAAAGTTAAGAAATCGAAAAGACTGGAATGAGATATATGAACAGCGAACAGGCTTGCTCATACTAAACACGCCTGAGGAAGCTAATGTACAGTGAAACCCGTTTTGCGGTTTTGTAAACTGTTTATTGAAAATTTCGCAATAAAGTATTAAAATACTAGAAACTCATCAGAATACCTTCATTTGATTTGATGACCTTCATTATTCAAGGGACTTGTTATATAAAAGCTATAATTTACTTGAAGTTATTTTCTGATGATGCTGACTTGGTTAGCAAAACACGCATCAATAGAATGTATTTTTGTTCTGGTGTAAGAAAAGTGTTTTTGAAATTTTATTTTGACTACCATTTTAGGACGTGCTGGTCTCTTCAGATCATTTACAGACAGGACACAATGAATCCATTTCTAACAGTAGATATTATGGTATGCCATCGTCACCAGTGAGAAAAGACAGGCCTCTACGTAAAAGGCCTTCCAAGGAAAATTCTTTATCTAATTGTGGAAATGATAATAAGTCTAAAGTGAGTTATTTGTTTTTTTTAGCCAGAAGTAAAGTTAATGTCATCAAATTGACCCCTGGTGAAGAATTGATTGAATAAAACTTTTCCTAACTCCTCTCAACATGCTTAGGGAGATGATCAGATTTTATGACTCATCCCCAAATCAACTATATCAGTAGTTTCTTAAGTGCAAATTACAGCGGAAAATTTCTTATGGCATTAGAGAAATTTCTCTAGAGAGGATTTTACCATTTTGGACAAATATAAAGCAATGTGTGAATAATGACTATCAAAATCATAGAGGAATAAGGAACACAAAATCTGAAAATTTTGATTTAATCATGGATGTACTTGGACCAATGTTTGTATTGTTATGTATGAAATTGAATCTATATCAAAGACATGTCATGCGTACACATGACATGTCTTCGATAATTTGTGATAAATGTAATCTAAGCATTGAGACAAAATGCAAAATATACTGGGTTTTCTCAAAAGTTTTGTTTTGCTATTCCGGTCAACTTCTAACTATGAAAATACTAATGTCAAATGAACCTTTTTCTTGAAGTACGAAAAATCACTCACTAGCAGCGCTAGTAGTTCGGTAGGGGCAAACACTGCCTAATCGTCATATAAACATATGGTAAAGTACAATTAAAAAAGAATATTTTTAACAGAAGGAGATGTTCCTGGAGCAAAACTAAAATTTGCAACTGTAAAGGATAACAATGTTGTAACATTAAAACTTTGGCTTGCATGCCGTAATTTAAAAGTAACTGGAAAAAAAAGTGAATTAATAAACAGGTTAGTATACTGACTCTAGTAAAAGAGTAGCAGTAGATTCAAACTGTAATAAAATAAATTTAAATGATTATAAATTTCAGATTTATTTCCGATTGAAATATGAATCAAATATAGATGGTAATGAAATAAATTTAATTAAATATAATAAATGAATATAATTTAATAAACGATTGAGGTTATATCTCATTTTGATGAATGGTAATTAATTATGAAAAATTTACTATTCATTTAATGTTTAGAGCATACATATGAATATTTATTTATTTTTTGCACTGTTAAATCCACTCTCCTCGAAGCATGTATCCATTTCTTACATCTAACCTCATTAATATTAGGTTTAATAAATGGTATAAAAAACACGTTTTCTTCCGGATATCGATTATTCGACGTACAATTCGCAAAACAGCAATGCTTTGTTGGCATTATACTAGCACAAAATAATTTTTTATACCAGATTTATATTTTTAAATAATAAATTAATATTACGTTAATAACACTGTTTTACATGCGAATAGTTTATGTTTGTCCCTACTACTAGTGCTGCTTCTCGTGACACGTTCGCTGTACTATTCTCAGGAAAAAGGCTCATTAGGTAGATAATTTCGTGGGGTCAACTTGGAAAAAATTTGCCAAGCACATTGGGAAACACTCGCATAAAAAATGTCATCTATAGCAAATCTATTTAATAATATTAGATCCACCTTACTTTAGAATCAGTTATTGATTTTATATCATACAAAAGTGGAATCATTGTTGAAATTTGGCATTTGGCCCAACTCATTCTTGTGAAGACTTTCGAAGATTTTGGCATTCTCACTCTCGCAGGACTCCTAATTTCTTGAGGTTTCCCTTATATGTTTTCAAAAACAAAAATAACTAGAACATAATAGTATAAGTAACAAACAGAAAAATAACTTCCATGTTCTCTTTTTCTTCGGATCTACAGGTATTCAAGAAGTTACCTAGGAACATATGTATTTAATTTGTTGGCTGAAGGGCTTCAGTCGATGGCCCTTTGGTATTCACCAATAAATAACATTTATTATTATTATTTAATTTGTTACTCGATTACAAGAGATATTGAAATAATCTGACATTATTAAAAAAAGAAAGAGCACTATTTTCGGTGTACGCTGTCTGTTAAAAAAATAAGGTAAAATTTCATTTTTCTCAAAAAATATTTATTTGGTCATCAATTTCTATTTTGTCCCCTTCAAAGTAGTCCCCCTTAGATATAATACACTTATGCCAGCGTTTTTTTCAATCCTCAAAGCAGTTCTGTTATGCACTTTTTGAGGTGTTTCAGCAATTTTCATCTTCTCAATCGTCGCAAAACTCCGTCCTTTCATGGGTCCCTTCAATCTTGGGAACAGGAAAAAGTCACAAGGGGTAAAATCTGGTAAATACGGTGGCTGAGGCATGATTACAGTGTTGTTTTTACCAAACAATTAGGAACGCAAAATTTGAACATTCACCTTATTTTTTGAATAGTCCGCGTATGCCGTGTGCTCTGTGTATGAATTCAGTTCTCTCTATAATTTCATTTATTTAATCTAAACTTCATATTTTTCTAGTGTGTTTTCTAGTACCTGCAGTTTAAGGTGCCTTGGAAAGTGGTTATATGATAAAGTAATACCCCTTTCAATTGTTAAGATTGGTACATACACAGAAAAAAATTCGTTGCCGATAATTATCTATTCAGGTTACTTAAATAAAAAGTGTATTAACATATATACAGGCCAATGTAAATTTTTCAAAGGAGAAAATTGATAATAGGTAACATAAAAATAGTAATGAAGCACAGGGTTATTAGGGTTCATTTCTCTTCATTTGAAGTAATTTTCTGCACTCTCATAAGTCTGTACTTTTGCCCACTTGAATTTTCGTATATGGTTTTTATTTTGATTTATCCATAAGTTTAAATTCTGGAGCCTTTTTTGTATTATTGATTTTCACCATTGGCCATATTAGTAGTTGAAAAGAGGGATACGAGGCAGAGAAGAGAAAGTGATATATAAATAATATTCAGAAGTGATATTCCAATATGATCTTCGTGTGATGTATTTTATTGCTTCTTTTTTTAAACTCGCTCCATACTTGGCTAATTTATTACTTCGGGATTTGCCAACGAATTATAAGAATTCAATTGATGTGCTCACGAGTTAAGTTAGAATAGATACCTCAAACGTAAATGTGTTTCCATTAAAAAAATATACAACAGTTTCAAATCTCTACATAGTATAAAACAAAGTCGCTTTCCACTGTCTTTCCCTATGCAGGGATCTTTAAAATTAAGCAACGGATTTTGATCCGGGTTTTTTTGGTAGATAGAGTGATTTAAGAGGAATTTTAATATGTCTTTAACATGCATAATATATTAGAGAAACACTGATGATTCTAGAGGTTTTTAATGTGATGCCGTAAATAAACACATTTTTTTGCACTTACACTGCAAACGCTGGCTGAACCTTACGAGATAGATCAAAATAATGTGCCACAGTATTGTACACCTTAAAAAGTTCTACAAAAAGTCCGCGATGGTATATCTCTATCTCTTAGGGATAACCCACGATAATAATTTTTTATCCTTTACTTTTTACGAGAAATAATGGCTTATTTACGAAGCGATTTTAAGCAATACAGTATTAATCTTTATCCAATTAACTACCTTAAATACATTGAGCATTCAATATAAATCAATATGGCCCTTTACGAGACAGCACACTTGTCTCGTCATTACATTTGGATTCCAGGACAACGGCTGTGGATGCACATCTTCACCGGCAGCAGGAGGTTGCATATCTTAATGAGGATCTAGAAGTAATTTCGAATTTGGGTGAAAGTAACCAGGTTCAATTAAATGCCACAAAAACCTAGGCATCAGTTTTCTCCAAAAAGATAAATGTCTCCGAACCGGATATAATAATTTCAGGTCAGACAATTCCGCTTTCTGCTTCGATAAGTTTGTTGTGGGTTAAAATGGACACCAATATGTCTTGGCACAATCATGTAGCTGGAATTGCAAAGGCTGCTTCTCAAAATCTTGGAACACTGTTGCGAACCAGAAAACTGTACATACCTCTGCAACTTTTGATGCTTTATAAAGCACATATCAGACCTTCTTTGGAGTATTGTTCTCATGTATGAAGCTAAGCATACCCTGAAGCTGCTGGATTCCATCCAAAGAAGAGCCATCCGCCTGATTGGAGACGCGAACATCACTTGCAACCTTGATAGTCTGGAACATCGAAGAAAGGTTGGAGATTTGTCTCTCTTCTATAGATACTTTCACAGAAAGTGTTCAAGTGACTTGGTACATTCGATTCCACCAAAAGCGGTACATATCAGAAATAAGCGTCGGACTGTGGCTGCTCATCGTTTTGAGGTGCAACTCAGTAAACCTCGAACTTCACTGTTTAAGATCTCTTTCAATTGGAGAACTGCGTTTATATGAAATAAACTTCCTGAGAACGTTTTTCCAAATGGATTTAATCTCCAGCAATACAAATCCAACGTAAATCACTTCTTTCGCACAGGCACCGATCTAAGAGCGCCTTAAGGATATTTCTGTTGTGATTGTGTTTTGTCCTTAAAAAAATCAGAACCGGGGCGGATCGCTAGTAATCTCATAAAACAGAGGTTATTATCCTTCTTCATCAGAAAATCAGCTGAAATCATCAAATTAAACAAAATAAATCAAGATCAGAAACACTGAAATAGTGATTTTTTTTGTTTTTGAAATATCTGTCAACATTCTTTTTGACACTGAAAATTATTTAAATTCTATTAAACATTTCAGAATTTGCCAAGGAGGAATCGAAACTCAAACGATGTACTCACAAGTCCAGTTACCTCGAATGTAAATATTTCACCATTTCGAAAAATGGAATCATTTTCAAGCAATCTTAAAAAAGAGAGCCCTTCTTCAAGTTTTTCCATGTCAGAAAAGCAAGCGGAATCGTCAAGAAAGACAAAACTTATCCAGGTTAGAGCTGAAGTAGTATTTTTTTTTCTATTTCTGAAATATTTATCATATTGTTATTCTAGAATGGTGAAAACTCCGAGTCAGGATCTAAACGTATCAGATTGGGTGGTAAGTTATATTATTCTTTAGTGCTATGGTTTTTAACTGTTTTCTGTTAAATTTGTTTGTTCACTTGATAGTTATTAATATGGATTTTTCATGATTTGTTTCATATTCACCCATTCCTCAGGTAAGGTTGAATATCAATATTAAGAAGCTTGTTATATTTTTAGTACTTTTAAGGTCAAATAGTAAAAAAATAAGTAGAAAATGAGTGTTCTCAGGTTAATATTTTACAGCAATCACTTATTTATTCATTACCTAACTATAATATACTTCCATAATTTTTTAGACATGTTACATAAAATAATGTAACAGCCAGTCTGGCAGCTTTTTAGTTGAGAATTTCTATGCATGTAAGTGCAATTTATTACCATTCATTCAAAGTAGAACTCCTGTAAATGATATCCGAATTTCATTCCATTACGAATGTTTGGAATACAAACTGAGTAGAGAAAAGTATCTTCTGTATAATTCAGTGTTCATGTAAAAGTATTTGTTTCAAAAGATTTTTTTTTCTTTCGTGTAATTCAATGTTTGTATGAAAGTAGCTGTTTCAGGAGGGCTTTATTCCAGTTTGTGTCTGAAAGTTGCTTCTTTGCATGATCTACACATCCATGTATAGAGTTACTTATTTCCAAATTGATTACTTCCTTCCTTTCTTTGGAAGATTCCCACATTTTTTTGTATCAAGATGGAGTGGGAGAAAGCCAAAAACTTCCTTTGTCTTCATATCTTTTGCCTACAAAAATAGGTGAAGCTTCGTCTGGGATATTCTGAAATTCAACCTGAACTATACAATTACTAAAATAATAATGGTATAATACATGATTCATAGTATAGATTAGTACATGACGCATCATGTAATGATCTGTGATATATCAATTTCTATTTTGTTCCCTTCAAAGTAGTCCCCTCAGATATAAAACACTTATGCCAGCGTTTTTTCCAATCCTCAAAGTAGTTCTGAAATACGTTTTTTGGTATGGCTTTAAGCTTTAATCATCGCAAAACGACGTCCTTTCATGGGCCTCATCAATCTTGGGAACAGGAAAAAGTCGCTGTGGGCCAAATTTGGTGAATGAGGCATTATTACGGTGTTGTTTTTGGCCAAAAAATTACGAACAAGCAATGACGAGTGAGTAGGTAGATTATTGTGGTTCAAAAGCCACGATACGGGACGTTTTATTGCTTCTCGCAAGTGGCGCATAACTTCAAGATAATACAACCATGTGGTAGGAACTCCTGGTGCACTACACCTTGGTAATCGAAGAAAACAGTGAACAATACCTTGACATTTGATCGAATTTCTCGTGCTTTTTTCAATCTTGACTATTCTGGGCTCGTCCATTGGGAAAATTGGTCTTTGGTTTCGATGTCATAACCATATACCCATATACCCATGATTCTGCCATACGCTACATGCCCAAAATTTCTGAAAAAATTGCGTGGCATGAGCCAACCAATATGCTGACATCCTCAGCAACTTCTCTAATAGCGATTCGACGAGTCTCCATAACAATTTTTTCACTTCCTCAACATTTTTATCGGTTGTTGATGTGCCCCAGTTCAGGGCGAGTGTCTTCAATCACATCTCCACGACCGTCCGTGAAAAGCTTGTACCACTAGTAAACACATTTTTCCGACTCAGAGTACAATCACTGTATGCCACTGGCAACATCTCAAGTAATTTTGAGCACTTTTTTCCATTTTTCACACAAAATTTGATGGATATGATCATCAAGAGGAAGATCAAACTGATATTTCTTTTGAAGATGATCACTTGGTGATCGAAACACGTGTCTAGTCTAGGTGTTAAAATAACGGTTTGGTGTTGGGAAAAAACTCCAGTAATATTTGTTATGAGCTTGATAATTCCACTGCTACCTAAAACCATATTCTTGAAAAAGTGACTTTATTAAGAAAACTTTATGATTTAGGTATAGGGATATGATATTTAATCTTGAAGCATTTTTCATCATCTTTCAATTTATCTAGTAATATACAAGGGGTTTTATGTGAAAAAATGAACTTTTGACCACTTTTATGCATAATGGAAATAATAGTAATTTTAGCACGCCCTGTATGATATGGAGTCGATTAATTAAATATTTCGACTTTGTACAAACTACCATCAAAATAACTTTTCATGAATTGAGAGTACTGATGTACTTAAGTTCAATTAGGGCTATTTTTTGTACCATAGTTAGCCCAAATTATTTTTCATCTCGAAAACCGATAGAGATAGGTATAGGACATTATTAACAAAAAAGTATTATAATAAAAGAGCGGGGTGTTCTTTTTAATAAAGTTGCTAAGACTTTTTGATAGAAGTGGCAACCCCGCAATACTGAAAATATTTTAAATCGATAGAACAGGTGAGGAAATGTAAGATGTGAAATTTTCACAAAAATCCTGCGTTGCGTTTTCCATACACGTCTAACCTACTACCATCGACCATGTTAACACATACATACCCACGGAATATATTGATTATAATACTTATATTGTCATAATTATAATACTTATATTGTTCACTCTTTTTTCCATTTTGCAGGGAAAACAAGAAAGGAAAAAAGTCCAAATAAAGTTATCAACCCTTTTGCAAGAAAATCTACTCTCACTGAATCATCCCACAGCTCAAGTACATGTTTTGAAGATGCCATATCGGATACAGAAACCGTTAAACTGAAACATAAGAAAAGTCAGAGTGAAAGCGAAGTAGAATGTTTTCTTGTCGAAAACCAACCAATCGTACTTTTGGACTCGTTAGTAGAATCTTCTTGTGCTCAACGCCAGGATTTGGACGAATCCTCCGAGCTGATATGTTCGCCCACCAAACAGAGTGGAGGAAATCCCTCTACCTCGAGAAGGGTTACCACACCTGTTAAAGAATTCAGCAGCACCGATGAAGATGACACGTTGCCTTTGAAAAAAAAAACTGCTACAAAAAGGGTCACCTCATCTCCGAAGAAAAAAACTGATACGAAAAAGGGCGAAGAAACAAATTTCAAAATAATAAAAAATCCACCTCCCGATAAACCCCAAAAACCCAAGAAAGTGGAGGAATACACCAATGATTTGTTGACTAAACAGCTCAATCATTTGCACGAATTTTGCACGGTGTGCTTCAAATATTTCAAAGACATAAGAGAACATCATAAGATGTTTCACAAAAAGATTATTAGAAAGAAGCAAAGTTGCAAAGATTGTGGGAAATCGTTTTACCACACAAAATTCTTCGGATTTCATAAGTGTGTCGATCGGGAAAAAGATTAATCCTAGGTCCAGTTGGATTTACGAATGTGGAGCAACTTGGATCCTTTCAGTCCTATTCAGGGTTAGACCAGAGTGTCTTTGAAATCTAATTTCTTCAGTTGGACTCCTGGTTAACACAATTGTGACGTTAACATGCTATAAATAATATGTGAACGTCACACTTTAGGTTGATTTGCAGAGTTCTTATTATTATAGAAACATAAAATCGGGGGTTGCCTATCACTTCTTTTATATACTATTTTTCAATTGAAAGAAGAGACATATTACTTAATCTATTTTGAGTCATCAAATTTCTACTAAAGGATTTAATTCTTTTCAATGCTGAAAATTTTCTCTCAACTGACACTGGGAATTATCACAATTATAGATATAAGTTTATATAACTCGGGCATGTAATCTCTCAGATCATTTTTAAACATGAAATTTTATAAATCTGAAGGAGACTTGCAATTTTGAAACATTTGAGGGTAGCTGTACAGTACGATTAATTCATTTTTCAGTTGAATAATATCGAAAAATGGATACTGAGCTATTAAGTCCTTATAAAGAACTTATGCGGAAAATCTTTGGTATAGGACGAACATTTTTCAAACAACAAATCAAAGTAGTTAAATTCAAGTAAATCTTCAAATCTAACTTTGATTTATATTAAAGGTGTTCAATATTTCATTATAAATCTGTTAATAATTTTATCTCAAATCGGGTAAGTATAAATTGGTTTTTCTTTTTTCGGCGCCGGCGGTTCGAGAGTTAAATCAATTGATTAACCATTTTTTTGAGTGTAATTAATATCTGTTGATTTATTTTGAAGAATAAAAAAACAACATCGGTATGTTCAAATATTAATTTAAATATTGTGATCATTTAAAATATATTTAAAACCTCTCGCCTCCCTAAGACTTTGGTCGTCGGTTTTAAAATCGTCACTGTTTAGAATAAAATCAAAGACATCAATCAGTTTGTCTTTGTTTGAATGCACTGAAATTACTGCTCTAGATGTAGAATTCCAACGCGTAGCAGCAAAAGTTGGCATTCGGCTACCATATATTCCATTTAAAACATGGCTTCTTTTGGTGGATTTTGAAAAGAATGCCGAAAATCCAGACACACTTGAAAAAAATACGCGGCAATCTTTTATGTTGTTGCACGCTTTGCTTAATTCTAAATTTAGGGCATGGGCATGACAATGCGTAAAAATTGCATGAGGAGCTATGGACTTTATTTTAGTTTGTAAACCATTTAAATGGCCGGCCATGACCGCAGTCCTATCATAGGTTTACGCAATTAACTTTTGCCTAAAATTATAGGTGTCACACGTACGAATTAAAAAATTAAACAAATCGTTAGCTGTGCGCCCAGATGAAACATTATGAAAACCCATAAAACGTTCTACCACATTACCATCTTTGACATATCTAAAAACGATTGAAAGTTGTGATGTATAGGTAATATCGGTAGTTTCATCAATTTCCCATGCAAAAAAAAACACTTTCAATCTCCTTGTTTATATTTTCTTTAATAATATATGCCACACTGTCTGTAAGCTCATTTTGGATGGTTTTTGAGGTGCCCGAAAAAACGCTACCGTTTAAAAAAGTGCCAAATTGAATCATATTTGCCCCATAACATTGAAAGTTCCTTGTAATTGCCGCGATTAATCGAATATTCGGTTTCATCGTGTCCGCGAAAAGCTTCACTTCACTTCACTCAAAGTTCTTGGCCTTTGCTTCCCTATAGGCGCATTTAGCCAGCTCGATTCGGATGGTTACAGCTTGGTCTGATTGTGAATCATGCTGTAATCCAAGACTTCTGTTTTCTTGATTAGATTTGATGTTTACTGGTCCGTTATCTCTTCTCGTGCTAGATAAGGATAAGTGACAGATAGAATACAAACAAAGGTTAAAACGAAAATAGGAAAAGGGATGGATGAAGATCATAATTTGATTTTGTTCTGATCTATAAATTTTATTAAAGCTTTAAGTATTGGAGTATTCAGTTGTCTCAATACGGTTGTAATACTAAACGGAGTAGCAATTCCTTTGAGGATGAGTTCTTTATATAAATCCTTGTTATCAGTCTTATTGATCGGGCACTCGAAGAATATATGATTAAGTGTGTCTCGCATTCCACATTCACAATTAGGGTTATCTACAATTTTTAATCTATATAAATGTTCTTTATTAGTACAATGACCCGTTTTCATTCTAATAATCGAGGTTATGTGCCTTCTATCCATGTATGGATATTTAAGATACCATGTATCCTTTGGATACTCTTCGTGAATCAGATGATACATTTTACCTTTAGATTTCAAAATACCCCAAATTGATTTCATGTTCTTTAAAGTGAAAGACCAGTTTTTCAAACTTGGAGGTCTTGATTGATCTCTAGGTGACCTCTTTTGAAACTGTCCAGAAGGGGCAATGCTTCTCTATTCCAGAAATCAAGATGGTCAGATTCATCTGGTAAACCAGCCCGTAAACATTTTCCAAGATCAGGAAGTTTGGTGGAACCATTTACTGAATCAAATAAACGGTTGAAAAAATACAATAATTCAGCAGTGTCCTCAACATTTTCCTCACATCTTCGCTGCAAAACACGGCTAAAACACTAACAGCATACAAAGGTATATTTTTTGTGAAAACTTCAAGGGGTAACTTATTTTGATGGAAACATTTGTTTGTCACTACTTCCAACATGGAGAATTTCAATAGTATGGTTGAATTTTAGTTTGAAACACAAAATGGCTGAAAATACACCCATATTCATTATTTTCTTACCAAGTTGACTAACTAAACGCAGTGTTGCAGCCAACCTTTGGCTAAATATTTGGGCAGCGTGCTTGACCTTCACATCCTAAGCCATTAGAAGGCATTTGGGATCGGCGCCCCACCACACCCTACTGAAACATCGTATTACATTTATTCCTTGATTAGCGCGTTTAATAATGTTAGTAATATGTTTATCCCATTTGAGGTTGTGTATGATTGTTACCCCTAAGTATTTAATTTCTTTTATAAGTGATGAGTTGTTTGAATCAATGCTGATTGTGAGATTGTGGTTTACTTTTTTATTGTTAAAGAACCATATAGCGTCGCATTTATGAATGGCCATCTGTAAATGATGGTTGTCCATCTATTTCTTTATTTTTTGTAGTGTACAGTTAATTTCGTTTTCCATTACTTTTATATTTTTTCCTTTGACCAATAAAACTAAATCGTCCGCGTATGCAATGAGTTTACTACTGGAAGAAACAACATCATACAAGGATCTCAGATAAATGTTAAATAGTACCGGACTCAAGGGAGATCCTTGGGGTAATTCCCTTGTTGTCAATCCAGGACCATGTAAATTATCTTCATTATCTAAGACATATGTCAGTCGATTATTAAATATTCTAAAAATTAGATTGGCCAAGTCGTTTTGTATTCCGTAATGTATAAGATAACTATGCAATTTAGATAAGTTAATATTATCATATGCACCTTTTATATCTAGCAAAACTGCTACCGCCATCTGATTTTGCCCAAAAGCAGTCTGTACGTATGTTACCAAGTATGCTACTGTGTCCATTATTCCTTGTCCTCTTCTGAATCCTGTCTGGAGGGGAGACAGAATCTGATTATGTTCAATATACCATTCTATTCTATTTTTAATCATCTTTTCTAAAAGTTTTAATCCGCAAGCTTGGAGAGCTATAGGTCTGAAATTGTTAAAGTTATCCGCTTTCCTATTTTCTTTCAAAATTCCCAATATGATGTATTCCTTCCAGTCTTGAGGTAACCTATGTCCTTTTAAGATTTGGTTGTATACTTCTAAAAGTTTGAATTTCATAATTTCTGGGAGATTAAGAAACATGATATACGGAATATTATCCCGACCAGGAGCCGATTTCTTTCTTAACCTGACACTGATATGTAATTCGTTAATCTGAAATGGTTTAGAATAGTTGGTCTCGTTAGAGAGTTCGAAATCTGGATTTATGTCGCAAACCGCGATTTTTTCTAGGATGAATTTTGCAATATTACTATCAGGTAATTTATTTGAGAAGGATGTATTTATTTTTTGGTTCGAAAAATTTTTAATGACCCCCCATACATAGGAAATGTTCATCTCTCTATTCAATGAAGCACAAAATTTTTGAAATCCTAACTTTTTTTTTCTTGGTTCGAAAAATTATTAATGACCCCCCATACATAGGAAATGTTCATCTCTCTATTCAATGAAGCACAACATTTTTGAAATCCTAACTTTTTTTTTCTTTTTAAAAATCTTCTGGTTCTAGCTATGATCTGGTTAACTGAGATATAATTTTCTAATGATGGAGTGTTTTTGAATATTTGTATAATTTTTTTCCTATCCTCTACTTGTCTGTCACAATCACTATCCCACCACGGGCATACAGCCAAGTGTAAAGATGGGCAACACTTGTTTGCCGAAATCAGGAAACAACACAAACGCACGGAGTCAACAACAGGAGCCAACCACACATTTGTGAACACTTATTAGCAATATTGGCCGATACTATGGTTAAGTCTAGTGGGCTAGGAGAATGGGAGGGGTTAGTGACTCTGGTGGAGGACCCATCATTCAATATAACTAAATCGTTTTCCTCTAAAACTGACATCAATATATTACCGTTATAGTTACTATTATTGCTTTCCCACATGAAATGATGAGCATTCATGTCTCCCATCCATATTATTTTCCTGTCTACATTACCTATCATTCTGTTCAAAATATTTTCTGAAGGAATATTATTCGGAGTACAGTACAAATTTAGTATATGAATGTTTCCGGTTTGTATTACTAAAAACTGGTAGTTATCATTATTAGTTCCCTCATCAGAATTGATCACTTTATATTTATAACCCGATCTGGTAAGAATTGCTACCCCCCCATATCCATCATCTCTGTCTGCTCTAATTATATTGAAGGATTTAATAGTGAATGTGTACTCACGTTTCAGCCATGTTTCATTTAATATTATAATGTCAGGGTTGTAATCATTAATAATTTTGATTAAGTTATGTTTATTAGCATTCACACTTCTAACATTCCACTGAATGATCTTCAGATTTTCTAGAGTAACTATTGGAGCCAGATTGATAGATTTATCGCTCATGATTTGGGACATCCCAATCCCTATATGCTTTTAATTGATTTATTAGTTTAACTACTGTGTCTTGAATGTTAGGAGAAATTTCTGTAAATAGAGTCATAAATTGTTTTATAATGTCGTTGTCTGAGGAAGGGCTTATTCCGACATTTGATGAACTGGCACCCGTTGGCCTGCAAAGTCTATCCTCATTTTCCTTATCACTACTTTTGTTGGTATTTATTTCAAAGTTATTGTTGATAAGTTATTTATTGAGATAATTCATCATTACCCCTTTTGTGGGTTGATGTATCATTCCGTTAGGATTTATTAAATTTTCATTTAAGGCTTCTCTGTCATAACCACTGGATTGATTATTGTGTCTTTTTTCCTTACTATTTGTTACTATTTGTGTGTATTTTCGTTTGTGTGTCTTCGTATTATCATGATATACCTGTTGTCTTTGTCGTATATGAATATTCTCTTGAGAGATAGATGGTGTTGTCCTTAAGGGTGGAAAATTTTGAGTGGTTTGTATTATTCTGTCTGAATTATTATCTTTAGGTATAAGTTGGGCTGCTTCAAAAAATGATATATTATCAAAAGTCATCTTTTCTTTTATTCGTTTTTGTCTGTCGTATTCTTTACATTCTCTACTGTTAGACTTGTGGTTACCTTTACAGTGAAAACACTTAATTTGAGTGCAGTGATCGTAAATTTCGTCACTTTCATGAGTTTCTGAACAATTAAAGCATTTACGTTTACCTCTACACTGTTTTTTAGTATGTCCAAATAAGAGGCAGGAATAGCATTGAGTGACCGGAGCTACATATGGGGTTACTGGAAAAGTCATATAGCATAGATCAATTTTGGCAGGTAGGATTACCCCCTCAAACGTAACTAGAATAGTAGCAGTTGGTTTGTAATACACTTCTCCATCCTCCACTAGTCTCCTATTCATTCTTTTAACCTGTAGTACTTTGAATTGACTTTTAATCAAGTGTTTGATTTCATCTTCCGTTAAATGGTTGTGTATTCCCCTTACAATACCTTTACAAGTTATTTTTACTTTGTACCCTTTCTTTGTAAGATCATTATTGTTGATAAAATTATTTGCCTCAATTCTCCTATTGAATTCCACTCCAATTCTATTTCTGCCTCTATTAGTAATTTTGCTAATGAGATAAATTGAAATCAAAAATCTCTTTTGACATCTTTAACTGATTAAGTCTTCCAATATAATTTCCTGACTCTTCCGTTGCTTCAATTATAACTGTGAAAGGTCCCAAGGAACCTTCTTTATAAAAAAGAATATCTTTTTCATGTTCTTGAGTTTTTGTTAAATTTGTATTTGAAGTTTTTTCAGTTAAAGAATGCAAATTTCTATTTTCTTGAATATTAAACATGTTAACGTTATCAGCAAGGGACTGAGAGTTGAAAATACTTTCTACCTCTTCGCTCTCTCCGTCATTATTCAAATTGGATATGTTTGTCTCTTCCATCATCATTTTTTTTTGACACGGGAGGGAGTTTCCTCTCCCCCCGACTCTGAACTCATGTAATAATAAAGGTTAAATCAAATTACGTTTGAATTGATATATAAGAATGTGTGAATATGAGATGAATAAAAGAAAAGGTACTAGCACACCTGTTTGATCTTCGCTGCTTGCAGAGTCAATCTCTCTTCCAATTTGTGACGCTGACACTTTTTCGACCAGTTCACTCAATGAAAGCCAAACCACGAATTACTTCACGTTATTCATCAGAATAAATGACTTAATAATGTTGCTAACAACCTCGATAATTTTGTAGGGTATCAAATTGAACAAGTACCAATCATTTGATTGGAATAGTCAAAAAATCGTCTCAAAAACTTAAAACAACACTATTTCGAATTAGTGAATTGTAGATATCTCGAGAATTTTTAATGTTTCATTAGACCTCCTTTGGAATTTTGCTCATATATATGGATCTCCGCACATAAACATAATCTGAGACTGCTAGATTATATACAGAAAAGAGGTTATGCCTATTTTTCCGTAAATATTTTCTCAGGAAGTGTTTGACTTAACCTGCTGAATTCCATCGAGACCAGTATAAGAACGCGGAAAATTACAGCTGTCCATCGCTTTGACGTTCAACTCAATACATCTCGAATGACACTTTCTACAAACTCTCAAAAAGCTTTTATTTAGGGAAGTTTTTTATAAAAGTCGGCTTATGGTATCGTTTGGCACTATCGCGGAAAACTTTCGAGATAAAGCCATAACAATTTCATGATTTATAGTGCTAGCTGTTGGGGTGTTTATCCCAATGGATGTTGAAGAACGTTTTGATGGGAAACGAATCGAAATCCTTAGAATGCTACATCTTAATATTGGTTGTAACATTTTTCAACTAGTAAAGTTTTTACATAATTCTGCAGACGTTATGTAGTTTTTCATTCATTGAAATATCTACGATGATAAAAATTTTCGTGTAGGTATATATGAAATAAATCGATATTTTTTTTTTCAAATTAGGTACTTTCAAAACCAACGTTCTACGAATTCTTACGTTTATTTCGTCTTTATAACTTATGTAACTTGCTGCACATACTGTACTTAAAGGCAATATAATTTATAAACTTTTGAACTTTCTCTGCGTTATATTTATGAACTTCGTATGTTGGTGACCAACCACAGCTACAATATTCCATAATCAATCTTACCAATGCAAAGTACAATAATAATAATAATAACAATAGCTTTAAATAATTAATTTCGGTAAAGTCTTTTGTGGTCCTTCATACAAATCCTAACATTTTCATGGCTTTGCTAGATATCTGTTCATACTGAAGGTGAAAATCTACTTTGACATTTATCACTATTCTATGGATTTAACCGATTCTAATTGTTCGCCGCCTAATGATATATATGTTTTTTAAATGAATGTCATTGATGTTCTCAGGCTTTGCCCTGAACATATCCCTGAGATTGTATTGGACATCAACATAAAAAAGCCAACTAGGTAAAAATGTAAAAATTATGCAGAAAAGCCTTGTCCTTATCAGAGTCTATGCAAATTCGTTTTGTGGTGGACGCATTCCAAATTTTCATAATATGTGACATTGCACAAAATGAAAAATTAACATCTCAAATATAAATTCCCACCAAAATCAATGAATACCAAATAACTTTGAAATGTAAATTATTGATATGTGAAAAAGTAATTACCACTGGAGCTGGTGACAGTATAACTTTTGATTCCAAGTTACCGCATCTCAGTACACCTTTGAACATAACGTACATGTCCTCTGCAAGCTTTTGAAACAAGCTGGTAACATTACATTCATTCTGAAGATTGTCTGGCACCAAAATTGAACCGTCATATCCAGTAAGATCTATCAACCTCTGATACAGAGGTTTAGCTAAAACAGAGTAATATTGAAGGTATACATTTTTCTACAATGAAGTTAAGTTCATATGACCCACAACACTATTATTTATACCTTTGATAAAATTCAAATCTGATGAAGGAGTTATACACACTACATGCAACTTTCCTGGAAAAGAGAAAGGAATTGGAAAAGGTACTTTGCTTGAGCGTTGATTTATTGTTGACAAAGATTCCTTTAGGGATTTTGATCCAACGCCGGTACTTCCATCTGTCACCAAAATTATCTACAAGAAATTCTAAAAATTCGTGTCCTGATTCCGATATGACGCAACTTACTTGACAGGCTGTGTTGTTTCCCCATTCTCCCAAAACCATTTGGTTGACACCATGGAGGGCAGTTTCAATACAAGTTTTATCATAATCGTCTATATTTTTCAATTCTCCTTTTATCACATTGTAATCTCTGGTAAATGGACATCTCTCTTCATATAACGAAGAAAATGCGATCTGAAAATATCGTAAAATATTATTCAGTAAATATATAGAGGTATTTTGAAATTTTTGAATGAAATAAGTGACTGTGAGCCGAAGGCAAGTATAGTAAATGTCCTACAAGTTAGTGTAATATGTGATATACCACATTCGAAATATTTAATACCATTATCATACATTCACGATCAAGAATACTGTATAGATTCGCAGATATTGCATCCTGCCATTTGATTGGTTGTAATTGTATGGAACCATCAATAAAAACCATTATTATTCTCAAGAATATTGTACTTAATTTTTATTGAATCTTTAGCGAGGAACGCAATAGTCGAGTTACAGCGATACTCAATCGAGTTTATAACAAAAGTGCCTATATAATAATAACAGGTTACATATACTCAATTCATATTCAAAACTGACAGTTTTAAAATAATAGTGTATATTAAGTAAAATAAGCTATATTGTCGAATGAAAGTATCCGTCCAGCTGACATAAAATTCTTTGGTAGGTACTATAAAACATTTTTGACAAAACATAAAGTTCTAAATTTGAAGTTATCATTTGTCTCCGGCAGCTTATTGCACATCCAAACATCGTCTGAGATGTGTTCCCTTAGAGTTACATTTAAATTACTTCGGGGTGTTTTTAAATGGTAGTAAAATCTTGATGAATAACTGAACTGAATGAGTGCTAATGCTTTTTATCCTTAAATATGTAACAAGATATTTCTAGAATATATACAGGCGAAAGAGAGGAGGTATTTTCAGTATTCAGCAAATAATGGTCTTAATGATTCTCTGATTTTTATTTACTTTTTTTGAGGACAAAACACAAGCACTACAGGAAAATCCTTAAGGCTCTCGAAGAGCGGTGACTGTGCGAAAGTAGCGATTTACATTGGATTTGAATCGCTGAAGATTAAATCCATTTGGGAAAACGTTTTCAGAAAGTTTATTCCACACAAACGCAGTTCTCCAAATGGAAAGGTTCTTAAATAGTGATGTTCAAGGTATACTGAGTTGAACCTCAAAACGATGTGCAGTCACAGTTTGTCACGTATTTCTTATATATACCGCTCTTGGTGGAATCAAACGTGCCAAGTCACTTGAACACCTCCCGTGAAAGTATCTATAGAAGAGAGGCAAATACCCAATCTTTCTTCGATGATTGTATGATATTCGCGTCTCCAATCAGGAGGATGGCTCTTTTCTGGATGGAATCCAGCAGCTTCTGGGTATGCTTAGGAGCGGAGCTCCATACACGAGAACAATACTTCAAAGAAGATCTGATCTGAGCTTTATAAAACATCAAAAGTTGCTGAGGTGTGTACAGTTTTCTGGTTCGTAACAGTGTTCCAAGCTTTCGAGAAGCAGCCTTTGCAATTCCAGCGACATGATTGTGCTAAGACATATTGGTGTCCATTTCAACCACCAACAAACTTATCGAAGCAGAAAGCGGTTCGGAAACATTTATCTTTTTGGAGAAAACCGATGCCTGGATTTTCGTGGCATTGAATTGAACCTGGTTAGTTTCACCCTGATTCAAAGTCACTTCTAGATCCTCATTAAGATATGCAACTTCTTACTGCCGGTGAAGATGTGCATACGCAGCCGATGTCTTGGAATCCAAATAGAATGACGAGACAAGTGTGATGTCGTCAGCAAAGCAATATATTGGATTCTTGTTTTTTTCCAATAAGTCGTTGTTATACAATAAAAAGAAGGTTGAAGACAATATGGATCCCCGGGGAACACCATCGTTGATAATAAAAGTATTCGAGAGATATCCATCGACGGTCACTTACAGGGAACGTTATTTCAGGAAGTTGGAGAGCCATACACGAAAATGATCCGACAAGTCATAGCATCGAAGTTTGGCCAGAAAAACCTCATGCCATACACGGTAAAAGGCCTTAGAAATATTAAGCGAACCAGCTCTTGGCTCTCCATGTTTCTCGATTGCGTTATTTCAAATATGGGTGACATACGACAGAAGGTCGCCTGTTGATTTTTGTTTCCTAATGCTATATTGATGATCGCTCAAAATGTTGAAGCCTTCCAAATATTCAAGGATATGGTGGTTTACGGCTTTCTCTATGATTTTTGATATCACGATAGCAAAGAAACTGGTCTATAGTTATTTGGAAGATTTTTCTTGCCCTTTTTGGGAATAGGCTGAACAGGAGCAATCTTCCAACAAGAAGGAAAAACCTCCTTTTAAGACAGGTTGAAGAATTTGCAAAATACTGGTGCGAGTTAGTTTGTACATTTTCAAGTACTATACCGGCACTTGATCAGGACTAGATGCCTTGTTAATATTGAGCTGTTTCAAAATTCGCCTGACTAGACGTTGTCAAAAACAAATTTCCGGCATTGTGGTTTCTAGTTTGGGAATAGTAGGTGGTGTCTTTCCCAGAAAATCGACTGTGGAGTGGGACGCAAATTGTTCAGCTAGTAGATTTGCTTTTTCTATAGTTGTTATTACAATTTAACCATCCGCTGGTGTTAGTAGTCGAATTGTGGATTTTGTAAAGTTCTGATTACCAGCTTTAGCTACCGACCAGAAGTATCTAGACCCGTTGGGATTGGAATGCTGTTTATCCGTAATTCTCTGATTGTGAAGTTCTGTGCTTTCATTTATTCTAAGTTTGCAGCTGTTGCGAGCATCAACAAACCTAGTTCGTTTTTTGGCACTGGGATTTTTGCTTCACTGCCGGTAGGCAAGATTTTTGGAGGCGACAGCTTGCTCGCTTTTTTTGTTGAACCAAGATTTGTCGTTAGAAATTTGTTTCATTGAAAAAGGAATATATGCATCCATGAAATATGGACACCTGTGGTTTCAAAAGAGCACATCATAAATCAATGAAATCAGAATGAGAAGCACTAATTTTCTGTATATAAAAACAATATTGCGCCCATAATTGAAAAAAAAGTTGATGATGATTGCCAGAACACGAAACGTCGGATTGTAAACCTGAACATGAAAACGTGTAGCTGAAAAAAAAAGTATCAATGGAAATGTGTTTTTGGTTTTGAGCTATGTTATCAAAGTTTCAAAACAGTATTTTGTTAAGCACAAAAAACACAACTTTGCCCCAATTTAAGCTTCGACGTATGTCCTGTAGTTTAGGATATAACAATGGTGGGAGTCAAATTTGAATTACCCTGTATATTATATTATTGGCACATACAGAACTCTATATAGTGATTTTGGTTCTTTCATTAACAAGATAGAACAATTACTTTATGAAATGAATAACAAAGAGAATACTTTTATTATCTGTAGTGACATAAATATTAACTTTCTCATTATGAACGGACTGACCCATTACTTGATGAAAATCAATAACACCGAGGAAGCTACATATAACTTATAGTGAAAATCATAGAATAAATTCTATTGATTAGTTTTTTAAATATGGATTTTCATCAAGTATCGGCCAGTTCTATTCAATTATGGAATAAGTCCAGTTAGCTCCTAAAGACGATTGTGGATACTAACAATCGAAACGTTGTGAAGTCACTTGGCTTGGAATCTTTTAATTTTCATTTCTTGTTAATAATTTTAAATTTTCATCTCGTGTTAATAGTTCAATTTTTTTATTGTTGCTTGTCATTTATTTCATTGTAATTTCAGGTTTTTGCTTAATATAATTGTTATTTTTGAGCTAATCTTTTGAATTTTTTATAGATTCTTTCAGGGATTTCAAATCAATTTACCTATACCATATTAGACAATGGAAGTCCGAAATAATGAAAAGTTTAAAACTTATCACGATAAGATTAACTTGACGTAACGCAGTAAGCCATTACGCATCGCGTCTACTGTAAGACGAATGGGGAAGATCCGCAAAGGTAGAGGGGCGCCATCGTCGAGAACGCGATCCGAACGCGGGAAGACACGTGAGGGCCGTCGTTGACGGTTGTGTTAGTTTTGCGAATTTCTTTATAGGTAACATAATTTGATCCTCGAAGCTATTCATTACTTAGGTGCAGTTGGCATATTTTTTTAGTTACTGTATTTTTGAAGTAAATATAGGTATAAATTATTTGCTATTGTACGCTTTCATATCAACGTACAGCCAAAGCTACTGAACCTAGAATCTTGA